AGAAGTCACATTCACATGTGGCGGTCAATCTATTACCGGCAGATAACAACTCGTTTGTATGCCCAGACAATGGAGCCGATACCATAAAACAGCACTAACATCTACTGGCCTAATGCATATGCTTATGGTCACACACAAACATGTGATTGGCGGATCGCTTGAGTTACACGAAGCAACGGGGAACTCCTCCAACACCAGATTTCAGTGCATGTTGCACCGCTCCCAACTCCTAGTTGCTCAGGCACCACTTATGAAGGCAACGGATTCACGATATTACATGGACACATTCCTTAGTACGATTATACCTTGAAATTCATACTGTAGCAAACAAGCAGCACCACTTCCTGGAACGTCGTTCGTAACAGCCGTCAACGAATAAAATGATGCGAGAAATATGCACGTGCTGCCGATGCTACAACCATGGAGCTGTGGCTTGCTTAAATAGTCCCCCTTCCTCAGGCAGGGGAGGTAGAATACGAGGTGAAATAAGATCTTGGACTAGTCATGAGTTATTTGATATTCTCCCTTGTGTGATGGGACTATATTTTGATGTTTATACGGAGTTAAGAGAGCTACGGTTTGAGGCGATTCTGCGTTGTACGATGTTCAGGCACCGGAATCGAAAAACAGAATGCGAAGTCACGAATTCGTGGCAGAAAAGGATAAATGGCAGAACGACTTCGCTGCAATGGCCTTCGGCCTGAATTCCGTTACGCCGAGTTAAATTGAACTTGAAGTCACATATTTGTATTTTTTGACAAAATACGAGAATCGGCATTTTACCAACCTTTCAGTCCAGTGCTGTACAGTTCGAAAACTTTGTTTTTGCCGGCGAACACGGAAAACAACGTGCCTCTGGTGTGCATCAGCTGAACGAACTCGATCATCAGGGAAAACTTTTTGCTGAGCATCAGTTCAGCGACCTTCGCCGCTTCCAGTTCGGACAGCTCGTTTGGAACAGTAGAGCAGTTTACTTGAATCATCAAAGCATCAGCGACAACCATCATCCGTCCGGCGATGAGGCTGACGACCAGCAGGGCCATTGGGAACCCGAACATGTTGGTGGTGGTCGGTCGTTTTTTGTAAACAAGGCCACCTGTATGGAGCAGGCAAGCACCGCTCGCCTGTGATTCGTTCAATCGCTCACCGGAAACTGTGGTTGCGAAACATCTCCGATCCCTCCAGTGACGACTGAGTACGAAAAAACAATTCACTCACCAAGTGCGAGGAGAAAAGAGAACCGACGTGGAGGAAGACGAGGAGGCAAACGACGGCGACGACGCCGACGAATATCCGAGTTGGCAATTTATTCTCATAATTTCCGTTCAATACTCGCCCGGCGCTTGTCAGCCGAACCCGGCACTTGGCACAGCAAATCATCGACGTCTCATTCGCTCGGCCGCTGCCGCACACAGCCCATTACTTCGACGAGCAAGTTCCGATCGACGAGTGTTTATGCGGCCAAAGTTTGATTTATGACGAATACGTCATCAATATTTCATGCGCCTGGTCAGAGGAACGTCCTGCGCTTTCAGCTTATGGAATGCATATTCCCAATGCAAGGTGTACCCCAGAAATCCGTGATGCATAGCAGAATCTTAAGACTTAAATCTTTCTGAATATTTGCCTCTTAGACGTCTGCCCTGAGTGCCACGCGAAAGCAGCAGTCCAATGTCCACTTTGATGACGTCAGAAACACATCAATTCGTTCTAGTGACTTCCTGGACCAGTGAGTAGTCTCTGTATGTGTATGCAACCTTGCACTTTCGTGTTACAAATCATAAGCGCATCACATACGGCGTTTGGATGAAAGAAGGGTCGCGGACTGACTACTGACGAGCTGGTTCCTTACATAAAAAATTTGGTATTGACTCTGTTTGGAATCCAGCGCCTGAAGTTGTCCATTTGGCGGGGAACCAGGGCCGATGCAAAGGTCTTCTGAAGCAGCGTCTTCTTCTCTTCTTTTTCCTAGCATGTTCTGTTTAACAGAGGTCTGCTAAATGAACAGGGGTCTACTGAAGCAGCTATTACGGCGATTTCAAAATTTGCGAAGAGACAGTAGTTCGTTCGTGCGCTGGTGGCCATACAGAAAAGTAGCACAGAACACGGTTCGCCTATGCACAACGCAAAAGATGCTGTGGACAGTCCAATGACTCGGAATTGGTCAGTCACCGGACTGACCACAGCATCTTTTACACTTCAAAATCGAAGGCGATTCTAATGTTGAAAAAGTTAATAACAATGGCTTCTATATTGTGTGCTGTCTATTTTCTGATTGTTGAACGTGCTTTTTCTCTCTCCAAAGATGACCGGTTCTGGTTCGATTTGCCGTAAATAAAGATTTTGTTTGCTGTCTTTCCTGCTGCTAGCCGTGAAACAAGAAAACAGGTTTTGTTGTTCAAGGCATGGGTTATAAACAGCCCAATACCTTTTGAAATGAAGCACAATACAGTAGTCAAATAAGTACTGAGTGATAGCGACGTTTCAGCCGCACCATCTCAGGGGTGGTCCTCAGCATAGATCGGCAATGGCTCTGGCCGTTTTGTAAAGCCATCTGCAGCAGGTGCTTCAACTCGAAGAGCCGAAAAACCGAGTATCGATCCTGTGCTGTAAGCTGAACAATTTTTCGGCAACAGGCGTGATGACGAGGCTCATAAAATCCGTGCTAAGTTCGCGCATTTTTGTCATGGTTGACATCGTTCCAGAATTGACGCATTATTAACATTGATTGATTGACGCGCCTGTTTATCCAATTATGCCGTTACGATGCCGGTGCCTCGTGACATTGAGGAATATCCTTCCTGTGAGATTCCGGAAGTCTTTTCGCACTGAATCCTGACTTTGTTTTCTTTCGGCAATCTTCGTTTTATTCGTCTTGACAGGGAAATTTTCGCTTTCTGAGTGACAGCGTTTTCTGCCTCTCCTGTGTAATTGTTCCTGTAGCTACATTATGATTTGTAAACCAAGCCTAGCGAACTATTATTCTCAGAATTACTTAATAACATATTAAATTTATTAAGACTTTATACATTGTGCTAATATATTATTTGGTGTTTGGTGATCGTTGCAACTAATAATATATAAATCAGTAAGCTCTATGACTGAAGGCATTACATTGGG